TCTCTGCCTGTACTGGGGGTTGAACCTCAACCCTCACACATGTAAGGCAGTTGAATGAGCTACAGAGCCAGCCCTTTTTAATTTTTATTTTGAAATAGAGTCTCTCTAAATTTCCCAGGCTAGCCCCAAAACTAGCCTCCTGCCTCAACTTCCCAAGTTGCTGGGATTATAGGTGTGAGCCACCATGCCCAGCTCTGAATATTTTTCTTTCTGTTTTTTATACATCTCCAGATCCCTTCTGGTTGCCTTCTGCTCCATCTCTCTTTATCTGCCTTCACATATTATCACACTCAGTGTCATTCAGTTTCCTTTGAACAGAGCAAAGGTCAATGTACAAACAGGGTTAGGATTGCCCAGGGATGGACCTCAAGCCTACCTTCACTCCCTGTACCTTCCTGGATGTGGGGTGGGAAGGAGACTGGCCCTTATTCTCAGTGCCTGGATACTGTGCAAGATGGTCAGTCTTGTATCCCACTCGGAGAGTCCATTCCCATCAGAATGGGTCTAAGAACTTTCTTGTACTCAGAATCACCAGGTAGAAAGACCTATCTGTATAGTTCCTGCCTACCATGTTAAACAAAGTGGCTGCTCCCAGGAGTCAGAGATCTGTAAACGGGAGGACCCTTCCCCACTGGGAGCAATGACAGCTCATTCACTCAGCAACAAAGAATCAAAAGACACTTTATATTCATAAATTATGACAATCAATGACTAAAAAAACAGGGGGAAAGAGACAGGACATTTTTAAGAACAAATGAAGACTTCATTTTCAACAACTAGATTCTTAAACACTATTTTAATCTCAGATAAATTCTTACCCATAAAATGTCTTCAAACAATGGCTTCATTGACATACAAAATCATATATGCTCACCATCTCCACCCAAAAAACCCTTTTTCTTGCCCAGGGAACAACAGAGAAATAAGGTGGAAACAGACTCTCCCATTTGGCCTCATGAGCATAACACTCTAGACAATCACAATCACAGCTGGGCTGCCTTTTGTCACATTTACTCACAGAATAATTTGGGGGTGGATGTTTGCAGTGGAAATTTGCCTGTGGCTTATGGGGCATTTCTGCCATTTCTATACTGCTGGTAAGTTTTAGTGTCTAAAAATTCCAGAAGCTTCCTATATGGATGGCATCCTGGTGGCTCTCTCTGGTCATTCAAGAGACAATGACAAACATCAACATGCTGAATCTTTCATTGCTCTGTCATCTAACCTTGAATCTTATGATAAAATAAGTTACATAAAAGGTACATCAAAAGGCATTTGTGTAGGTAAACTAGTCTAAAAAATCGTAATCTTAACTGTGTTTAAGCCTCTGGTACGCTAGTGTTACATCTATACACATTGTTTGGCGGAGCTTCTTTTGTTGTTGTTGTTGTTGTTACTTTGTTTTTGTGGTGCTAGAAATCAACCCCAGGGCCTCCTTCATGCTACACAAATGTTCTACCACTCAGCTATATCCACAGTCCTGCATATTGTGCAACAGACCTCTAGAACCATCATTTTACTTTCTTTTTTTTAAGAGTCTGGCTACTTTTGATACCTCATTCAAGTGAAATCTATCTTATATGACTTGAGCATTGGATTCTCGAAAGTGTTTTCTTTGTCTAGAAAATGGATAGAGTCCTGAAGGAGAACTACTGGTCTTACTGTGTTACTCGCCTTACCTAATTTTATTTAACAATATTCATCTATGGTATAATAAAAATGCCACAGTCCAGTTACTAAACTCTCTGGAATCTTGGTTATCCTGGATTAACTCACTAAAAGAATTTGAAGTGGTTCCTAGGTTCAGTAGTGGATATGACTTCAACAGCTGTTTACTATCCTCTGGTCTCTCTAATATTTGCAACCAAAACATCACACATATGATCTTGTTCATTCTGAGTTTCAAAATCATTACAATAATGAGGCCAGAATCTTGTAAATACAAGAGCCAGGTTTTAATATACGAGTAAAGAGATGAGTCACCCTAGCCTGTCCTACAATGGCAAGATAACCTCAAAGATCAGGGCTATCCACAGGTGCACCTGCCTTAGAAGTCAAGAAGGACTGGATTCTTGGAGTCATTATACCTTTAGCCTGGGGATCATTTCCAACTGGTATAGCTGCAAACCTGAGAAGGTGCCATTTCTCAGATACTGTGTCTTGGAGAAAACATGAGTTTCATAAGCCCAGGCTCTGCTCAGCATCTCCCAGATCAGGGTAATATTGCCAAAGACCACCACTTAGAGAAGGTTGGGGGTTTTCTCTTTTGCTTGCTTGCTTTATTTCTCCCCAACCTCTTTCCTTTCCTTCTTTCCAAATTCACTCATCCTCTCTGAGAAATGAGGCTACTGCTTCTCCCGATGTGTGAGCAGGAAAAATTCCAGTCTAACTGCCACTGGTCCCTGAAGTTGTCAAGTTCTCTGCCTTCCCACCTCTCCCTGGTATAGCAGCCAAAAGGGGCCTCCTGCTTCCTTTTTGGTACAAAGCCTCAGAAAGGAGCATTTGGGCACCTACTCCAGCCAGAGACCACCAACATCAGGCTCAAAGGGACTCTGAAATAACACAGGCGTCTGGACTTCTCCAGAGAGGCAGCTTCCCTTCTGCTTCTCCCAGATGCTGCAGCAGCCTCTCTTCCAGGGCCTTTTCTGGGGGCTCAGACCCTTAGATAGCCCCAGGTGCTGAAGAATCGACTGTGGCCAGCAGGGGTGTCTGAAAGGCTTACTATCCTCCACTCTGGGACAAATTCCTTGCCACCCTGTCCTCTTCCTGAGGACCAGGTCAGCAAGTGGCCCTCCCAGGGAAAGCTCTGTGTCCCATGCCCAGAAACATCAAAGCAGCGCTTGGGGAAGTGGAATTATGTTTACCATGATGGTCACTACTCGGGCCCCTAGGATGTTTGAGAAACGGAAAAATAAGCGTCGCCTGCTGCCTAGGTTCCGCAGACTCAGCAGGCCCCTACTGTGACCAATCAAAAACTGCCTTTGGAAGAGATACTGACTCATTCTTTTAACCTGCTGATTGGCTTTGAAGAATGGGCGGAGCTACTACTCCATCCTGGCTTTCCATTGGTGGACGAAAGTTCAAGGTGGGCCTCCACAGGGTTTTTGTCCTGTGACAAAAAAGGAATGTCTTGGGGATTTTTTCCTCCCCCTGCTTTGGAGGCCCAGGCTCAGGGCCAATTATAAGTAGGAAACCAATTTGAAGGAAAGAAGTTGGAAACGAGTTAGGGTGCCAGGTCCTGGGAGAGAGCAGCAGCCCCATCTGAGGCCTGCCTGGGCCTCTGACAGACTCAGGTGCTTGTTTTAAAGGGAAAGGGCTTCCAGAATTTACCAACAGCGAGCCAGCTAGGAGGTGAGAGAGGTACTCCCCCAACAGGCCATCAGAGGGAGGGGAAATGACAGAGAGCACAGTATGCTCTTAGCATTTTTATTTTTTAAAGATTTTAAATGATTCTTCAAAGCCAAACAGCAGCAAAGTGTGGGTTTAAAAGGGCTTTTCCCGATGGCTAGAATGAGGTTGCTCTCTTGCTAACCACGCGGAGAGGGAACCCACTATGCCCCCGTTGATCATCCTCTCCCAGTTCCTTCTCGCTGGTCATAAGACCACGCTCATCAATCCCACCTAAGGCCAAGGCCAGGAGCCCAGCCCTCGGTGGGAACGGGGGTAGAACAGCCCTCCTCTTCTGCCCCCAAGACCAGAGAGGACTCTTGGGAGCCAAGAAAGGTTTAAGAAGTCTTCCTGGACAGATGCCGTGCGTAGTGAGGACCAAAGGCGCTCCGGGCAGAGCAGGTCCAGGGGCGCGGAGAAGAGATAGGGCCACCATGGGCCTTCTTCAGGGCCTTCTTGGAGCAAGGAACCTGCTGTTGGTCGTCTGCGTTCCGCTGCTGCTGCTGCCTCTGCCCATCCTCCACCCCAGCAGCGTAAGTACCCACCTGTGCCACTCCAGGGCCTGGAGTCAGTGGGAGGGCAAAGAAGGGAGATGGGAAGGCAGTGGGGTGCTTATGCAGTACCCACAAGTGGGTTATTGAGGGACTGAAGGAATGGACATGATTTTCTAGAGGAGACCAAAATGACTTCTTTCTAAAAACTGTCCTATTCACTCCTCCATCTCAGTGCCAGACCCCCAACCCTCTGATATTCAGCTCAGTGGGGACAGAGTGAGGGATGAGGCTGAAATGACTAATGTGTGTTGCACAAAGCTGGGGAACAGTCGATGGATCCATAAGAAGGACACACTGGTGAGCAGTTACTCATCAGGAGTCAACCTGTGACCATCTTTATGTGAGAGCAACTAGAGACACAGGGAGACCACCTGTCATGACCCAGAGAAGGATGGGGAAGGAGGGCATGGTGGAGCCTGTGTCGGGTCTGTGGTCAGATCACAGGGGGCTCTGATTATCAGAATTTGAAAATCTTGGGAACATTCGAGAAGAAAGTTTAAGTTAGAAACAGAGCTTGATGTGTTGCCCTGGTTGCTGCATATGGCCCTTGTGTTATTTTTAGCCTCTGTGTTTCTCTGTGTTGCTCTTGAAAGACAGACATAAAATGATATGAGCCCCCAAACCCTAGACTGTGACTTAATTTTTAACCAGCATTGTTTAGCAGCATTGGCTCTGCATTTGGCTGGCCTCTGGCCTCTTGCTTTTTGCCTTTCCTTCTTCCCCTCTATTCTATCTGTGGCTTTATCCCTTCCTCCAGCTGTCACCTGCCTTGAGATTTCAGGAAGAATAAGCTAAGTCAGGCTGGTTCTGATCACTGGGGGTGGGGTGTCTCCCTCTGTGCTCCTTAAGTAACTTGGTAACCAAGATTAAGTTAAAAAGTTAAATAGAGGGGATTAGGATGGTTCTTAAAAACAAGCTGGCTTATGTCTTTAGTAAAATAAATACCCCAGCATGCCAGGCAGGCGCCGAGTAACACTTGGCTGGGATTAGCAGCCCGTGATTACTGCTGACATTTTTCCTGGACTACTTTGTCCAAATGGGCCTGATTTTTTTTTTTTTTCTTTTCTTTTCATGGTATTTTTTACTCAATGTCAAGTTGATTTCAGGGAATGCTAACAAGAGACACATTACCCTCTTCTCCCTAGCACTTATTAGGGAGGCCTGCTTTCCTTTAAGTCAACTCCTATCTTTGGGGACCTTAACCAGTGCCCACAGGAGTGACAAATGCACTGACTACGTCTTGTACCCATCCTTCAGCTGTTGCATCAGACTTTTAGATTCTGATATTTCATGCTAAAAACTCCTGGATGAATTTGCTTGTACTGGGCTGCCATTAAGAGAAGTGGCTGGGACCTGGGCAGGAGCACCGGGCCTACAGTTTTGATGGTTCTTCAGAGTGACAAGCCACCATTACACAGTAGGAGGAATCAAAATGACCTTCCCCTTTTTCTTGCCCATCTCTCTAACACAGGAGTCCAGACTGTTTATCATATTACAGAAGAAGAGGGCAATGCTGGGGTCGTAGCTCAATGGTGGAATACTTCCCCAGCATGCATAAGACCCAGGGCTCAATCCCCAATATCAGAAAAGAGAGGAGGAAGCGAGAGGGGGCATCAATCACTCAGCCATTTTTCCATGTCCCCAGTAGGGTAAAACTTGCACCCCAACTTCCCAAGCTAAATTTTACAAAGGGCCCATTGGTCATTTAAGACAGCAAATGAACAGATTTCAAGCCTCGTCCTTGAGTGGGATGCCTTAGGGGTGGAAAAGGGGCAGATCTGAGGCTGAGTTAGTAAGTAGCAAGTTAGGGAACATTCTACATGGAGAAATGTCAATTTTGAACTCTTAAAAAAAAAAGGAGCAAAATAGAATTGACAACACTGTTTCTTAAAGACATTCCCTGAAAACCCACCAACTTCCAAATTCCTTCCAGCCGCTGGCTCTGAAATGGGCCTGGGGGTCCAGAGGGTACTCCCTAGCAAGATAAAAGAGACTTGTCAGCTAATAGAGCAGTCCAGTCCAGCCAATATTAATTGAGCCACCTGTGAGACATGGGTCAGGTGCAGGGACATCAGACTTCTAGAATGGAACTTTGCAGAGTATCTTGGGCTGTGTGAATCCAGGCTTACCAAGCGCCTTTTGAGAAGACTGACAGGGGTAAAAAGGACATGGATGTAGATGCTGTGAGTGACCTAAGTGAGCAATATCTGAAAAGACCCTCTAAAGGTATTTTTTATCCATTCTTCTGATCTAAGGAAAATCCAGATAAAAATGTTCTTAATCCTGATGGGTGAAGGTGGCTTCCTCTGGCCCCAAATCCTAATGATATTTGCAATACTATGTTTCAGACCCATCAAACTTTCAGATTCTTCTGTCTTATCCTTAAAACTCCTGGCTTAGACTGGGCTGGCATCAGGATCACGAGTTCAAAGCCAACCTCAGCAACTTAGTGGGGCTCTAAGCAACTCAGCGAGACCCTGTCTCTAGATAAAATGTAAAAAATAGGACTGGGGATGTGGTTGAGTGCTGTTGGGTTTAATCCCTGGTACCAAAAAATAGAGAGAGAGAGAGAGAGAGAGAGATATGCTGGAGAGTCTATCTCAGCTTGCCCAAATCCTCTAATTCAAATCAAAAGGCACATAGTTGAGAAAGTCTTCCTCTCTGCCCTTCTACTGTTGCTGCTCCTCTTCCTCTTCTTCTTTCTCTCTCCCCCTCTGTCTCACTCTCTCTTTCACCTCTCTCCCTTAACTTAGGGCCTATAAGGAGAAGGATCAAGACTTCCCAGTAAAGGACAGACATTCTGCTCCTCTATCTTCACCTGGAATTAAGACCTGTCACTTTGTCTCTTTTCCAGACAAGAGATGAGAATAAGCAGGATTGAGCTCCTTTAGGTAGTTTCAGGTCTACAGGAAAGAGGATATTTCTCTAATTTGCCATTCTTTACCAAATGGAGCCATTTCCCCCCCCCACACACACAATGGATTCTGTTGTCTTATCAGCACTTCCAGTTTTATCTTCTCTCTGATCTTTTGGCCCCAGAGGAAATCTCAGTAGGAGCTCCAGTCAACAATCCCTGGGCCCAGTTCCCATCTCCCAAGCCAACCCCAGAATCCGTGACTCTCAGGAGGGAGCAAACCTTCCCAGCCAAACCACTTAATCCCTCCCCCCACCCCTCACTGATTACAGAGAATTTTTGTAACTTTCCTGCAAAAGCTTGAAGAGCTTGTTCTCAACTCAAGGGCTCTAAAATAGAGCAAGATTTGTCAGGTTCCTGAAACAGCAGCCAGACCCAGGGCAGGTCAGACTTGATTCCTGATGGATTAGGACAGTGTGAAAATTGAGAAATGCACTACCAACTTGGATTTTCTCTACAACGGCCCTCTGAGGCCTGCAGCCTGGTGATGTTATCATTACCAAGATCTTGGGCAATGACCTCCCAACAGAGTAAGCCACAGCCTTCCTCCACACACTCATCAGTGCCTCTGGGACAATCAGCATTACTAGAGGCCAAGGTTAAGGAGGAATGGGATTTGATACTTATTTACCCTGTGCACCCCATGGTGGCACAGTGAGTGAGATGGAGGAAAGGCTGATAAATGTCCCCACCTCCCCTTCCAGCTAGATGGCCCCTCTGTGGGAGGTGGGGTCATTCTGAAAGCAATGAGCACCATCTTTGGTCGTCACACTAGGAATATGCTACTGGGGGGTACTGGGTAGAAACCAGAGATGCTGTTCAACATCTTATGTTGCACAGGACACAAAGAATATCCAGTCCCAAAGGTCATTACAGCCAATGTTGAGAAAGGTTGAGTTAGGAGTTCTCCATTCTTCCTGGTCCAAAATGAGAATCTGTTCTCCATTCTCCCTGGCCCACCCTGCCCTCCCTGACTGCAACCTTCAGCTCCTTAGCAACTCTTCAAAGAGACCCTGAGGGAGGAGTTCACTCGCTCCATACTGGTACACCACCAGAGAACCTGAGATCAAACAGGGAAAATAGCCAACCAGCTCTTGCCTAACAATTTATTGGATTAAAATTTGCCTCTGAGATGGGTGTGGTGGTGCCTGCTTGTGGTCCCCACTACTCAGAAGCAGAGGTGAAAGGATGTCTTGAGGACAGGAGCTTGAGATCAGCCGGGGCAGCATACCAAGACCTATCCATTAAAAGGAAAAAAAAAAAAAATTTACTACTGAATTGACTTGTTTTGGCAAATAGACCGAAGTAGGGGAATTTAAGTTTATTTATTCATTTTTAAAGCCATGAAGCTTTTTAGTAATTTTTTAAAATTTTACATGTTATGCCAACATAAATAAATAAAAGCAGGGCTACTGTGGTTGGGTGAGGCTGGAGAAGGGGTCTGGATTCAAGTCCTTGCTGGTCTCCTGGCATGTTTCTGAGACACACTCAGGTTTCCAGGGCAACACGAGCGTAGTACAGAAGCCAGCTCTTGGGTGACTTCTAAATCTCACCTCTTCCTGGTCCGCTTCTCTTCAGTCAGACAGTCTGAGTGCCCCCACCCCGATCCCCAATCTCTTCCACCTGTGAACTCAGGATGCTGACCTCTTAGCTCACATGGGAACATATATGGACCCCATCTTCAACTCCCCCAACAAGCTCCATTATCTGACTAATTGACCCCAGAAGGTTAGGTCCCAGCCCAAGTAAAATATCAGACTCTACCTTGACACTTGGGTCTGGATGTCCACCCTAATATCAACCCCTGCCCTCTACGGCTTCGTGAACCAGCAGAGCTGGGTGAGATCTCGACAGTCCTGTGGCTGTTGTGCTTATCACATCTGAGGCATGGGTCCCCCCAAGAAGAGCCTTCACTTCACCCATAAAGAATGGGTCTCATCACAAATCTACCACACCCACTGCCAAGTCCACCTCTGCATCTCCCAGAACTGAATCCTCGTGCCCAGGGGGGAGTCCAGGTGCCTACCACCTTAGCCCTGGTCTTATTCAGATGCTTGATGGCAGTGACTGTCCCTGTGACTAACCACCTCTTCTTCCCCTTCCAGGAGGCTGCGTGTGCTTATGTTTTGATCGTGACCGCTGTGTACTGGGTGTCTGAGGCAGTGCCTCTCGGAGCTGCAGCCCTAGTGCCTGCCTTCCTCTATCCGTTCTTTGGAGTTCTCCGATCCAGCGAGGTTAGACCACTTATGATCCAGCCCTCCGCTTGGGTCCTACTGGGCTGGTGTGGGAGGGATCCAGGGAAAATGAGATTCATAGAGCACTTGAGGAGGGGCTTTCTCACCCCCTGGAACCACCCTGAACACTGCCTTTGCACCTGCAATTCCAGACCCGGAATTCCCCACCTTTCAGCCCATCCTTGTCTTTCAACCTGGCTCAAAACTTGCCTCTTTCAGGAAGTATACCTTGATTAGACACATCCAGTTGCATCTTCAATTTGAAACCTCCTAGGAACTATATGATGGGGACCTGTGAATCATCTGTGGCTCATCTTTTCCAGCCTCTTGCTGTCCATTTTTAGTAGCTGCACACAAAGCTGGAATCAGCCCCTCCCCCACCTGTTGTATAGTTCATTCAGAAAGCTGAGCCCATAGAAAGTAGGTGATTGATCAGTGCTTGTTGACAGAGAGGCTTACCATGATTCCCTGGGTCCCAACTATGCTCTTATCTGTCCCACCCCCAAAAAGAAAAAAAAATTCTGTTCCTTCCTCCCCAACTCCAGGTTACCGTGTGGATTTTCTTTACCCACTCTCTGCCTAGAGTCTGCCCCTCTGTTCACTTCCTGTGGCATTCTCAAAAGTTCAAGCAGAAGTGATCAACATTAAGCTCAGGTTGTAGCCAAATGTCAGGGCAAATGTTTATGCCTAGCACAAACAAGGAAGAAGGCAACCAGCCAGAAGAGGAGCAAAACAGATGCTGGCCCTCAGTCATGAACATCTGGTTCCACTTGGGCTGTCTCATTAGGGCCCCTGGTCTCCTCTTAGCGATCCTGATGAAGAGGTGGGAATGAGGCGAGTCAGAAGCAGAGAAGGGAGAGGAGAGGGAGCGAAGGTTGGAATTGCTAAGAGAATTAGGCGACATTCTAGAAGTGCTGCATTCATTATGGCTCTCCCAGGGCCTCTACGAGGTAGATGTTAATATTTCCAATCTACATGTGAGGGAAGAGGCTGAGGGAGCTGAGAAACTTACCTCAAATCACAAAGTAGGAAGTAGCAGAACTGGATTCAAACCTACACCTATTAGATTGCAGAGTTCACTGTATTGGAAGAAAGACATTCCATAAAGCACTGTGGGACTCCGTGGTGTTATCAGTCCATGGAATCACTACCTAGAACCGTGGGCCTCTCAGTCTCTGTGGCTTGAGGGAGGATGTCTGAACCCTGGCTAACAGAACTTTCTCAAAAGTCCCAAAGGTAGAATTAGGGGAGTGCAAATGAATGCTTTGTATTTCTACTAGGTGAACTCAAGTGACCAGTTTCTGTTTGCTTTGACCTTGGGTTTCTTTTTTTCCTTTTTCGTTTTGGTGGCATTGAGTAAACAGAGCATCAGGCTCTCCAAAAAGAATAGGATCCCCGAACTCTCAGCAGTTCCTTTGTCTCTGGAGTGTACAACCCCAACATCCTGGGGACCCATCTAAATCTAGTCCGTGACCAGCATCACCAGTGACTCCAATTTTTCTTTCTTATCTAGAATAAAGAATAGGGAAGATGGGTTTTTGTGCGTGCCTAAAGGAAAAATTGACCTTAACCAGGACTTTTCTTAAGAGAAGTGTACAAACTTGTGCTGCAGGTTTCCCTTTAAATGGAAACCCAAACCTCAGTGGGGTAAGGGGAGAAAGGAGAGGGTAGAGGGCTAAAAATGAAGTTTAGAAAGAACGGAATCCCAAGTAACATTCTAATGGGACGACTGTTCATTAAGAGAATTAATCTTTGTCTTTCTCTTCAGGCAGCCCCAAAGCCAAGGGTTGGCCTTGGCCTTAAAGTAGATGATGTCTTTGTTTCTCTAAGGGCTGCCCACAGTAGGAATCCCCTCCAGCAGCCCTGTCAGCCTACAGCAACGTGATGTTGCTGGGCAACAGCTATCCAAGGGTCACCCCTCTACACAGTCAGAGGGCCAAAGGACAGAGTCCTGGGGGCAGCAGTTGGCAGGGTTAACAGGACTCTGCAGAGAAAAGAAAGAGCGTCTTGAGGGATTAGGTGTTGCTATGCTGAGTGCTGGAGGGGTGAGAGGGCCAGTTTTATCATTTGAGATTAAAAAAATCCTAATCCATCTATTTGATATGAATGGCTTTGGCTAGCAATGATATTCAGCAGTTGGGCTACAGGGAGCAACTCAGTCCAAATATAGTCTGTTTAACTGACCTTCTTAGCTCAGATTAATGGGAAATGCCAGGAAGTTAGAGGACATGGGCTAGAGTATTGCGTGGGCCAGTTAACTGCAGACAGAAAATACCTGCTCTGCCACCAAGGCTCCTGGGGAAACGCTGTGAGTCCCCTCATCATCTGTGTGTCACGCCCTGACTCCAGCTCATGCTTGACCACCCCCTGCCATGACTTGGGCCATGTATCCACTTTGGCAAGTTTTCTCCAGTTCCTTCAGTTTTAAAAATCCTACTCAATTACTCTCTTCGGTAAAGACTTTCCAAAGACCTCAGTATCGATTTCTTTTCTTTTTTTAAAGAGAGAGTGAGAGAGGAGAGAGAGAGAGAGAGAGAGAGAGAGAGAGAGAGAGAGAGAGAGAGAGAGAGAGAGAGAGAATTTTTAATATTTTTTAGTTCTCGGCGGACACAACATCTTTGTTGGTATGTGGTGCTGAGGATCAAACCCGGGCCACACGCATGCCAGGCAAGCACGCTACCTCTTGAGCCACATCCCCAGCCCCTCGATTTCTTCCTTTTGAGCCTTTTGATGTTTTTAACTTTTAGATGGTCCATATCAGACACTCAGACATAAACTTTTGATAAACATGGGCTCTCTCCACCAAGATTCACCACCTCCCACATCCCCCCAGGATTTATGATGTCTGACAGCCCGTCCGCAGCCCAGAGCCAACCCGCATGGCCCTGCGCTCAGGTTCTTGAGCACAGCGTTTGTTGATTGTGTGTAACTAGTGTCATCTCTACATGAACCCATGGGAACAGGATCAGTATGGCTCTGGGACTGTGGCTTTTGTCCCTCGTATTATTCACTCAACATTCTGAAAAGTGTTTCCTGAGTTCTGTATCTGCCATGTGTGAAGTGGGATGGGATGGTACCCAAGAATGACAAAAAAGAAGAAAAACATAATTTCTGCACTTTCCAAGCTTATTTCTGGCCCTTCTGATGTTCCCACCCTCTGAAGCTAGACATGGGTTCTTCAGAGAGACAGAACCAACAGGGAAGTAGGATAAATACAGATGTAGATAGTGCTAGAGATTGATCCATCAGGAGGAATTGGCTTGCTCAGTTGTGGAGGTTAAGAGATCCATGACCTGCCATCTGCAAGCTGGACACCCAGGGGAACCCATGGTATCAGTGTGGGACTGAAGGCCTGAGACCCTGGGGAGCTGATGGCGTAAATCCCAGCCCAAGAGCAGATGAGACGAGATGTCCCAGCTCAAGCAGTGAAGCTGGGAAAAGGGGACAAATCCTCCTCCCCCACCTCAGTGGACTGGATGATGCCGTCCACATTGAGGACAGACATTCCAGTCTCATCCAGAAGCACCCCTACAGTTACACCCAGAAACCACCTTTCACCTGGGCACCCCCTAGCCCATTCAAGTTGGCACGTAACTTTAACCATCACCAGTTCATAAAATTGTTACCTTTTATGGTATTAGCTTGTCAGCCAGCAGGAATTAAGAATCATTTGCAAAGCTTAAAGTGCCTTCTTTCAACAGAGGTGCTGGGAGGAGATATGAAATGAAGAAAAAAAAAAAGGCTCCTGACTTTCAGAAGTTTCTATTCGAGTAGAGAAAAAAGCATAGAAAACGTGGGAAATGCAGAAGGCTCTGCAGTAGTTAAACGCTCAAGTGCCATACTTTGAATTGGCCACTTCTTGAGTGAAATCTTTCTAAAGGGTTTTATAATTTCTTTTAAAAGGAAGTAGTTAAATATAAATTACCTTTTTTCCTTGGAGCCTTGAAGATTTCTTGGAGGGGGTGGCCACAGATCCTCACTCAAAAGAGGCAGTGTGGGCTAGAAGGTAGCAGAGCTGAGGAGCCTGCGTGCTAAACAGCTGACCTAGAGAATCTTGAGTGACGTGTTGGCATCCGCTGCAGAGAGAGCTCAGAGGAAATTTGACTTGGCACATTAGAGGATTGATAGGTGGCTAAGCAGGATGGGGGTGGCTGAGGTATGGTGACAGAGTCAATGTTGCCTGGATGATACAATGGGCTGAAACTGACAAAATGAAGTTTAATAAGGATACATGTTAGCAGCCGATGTGAAAAGGTCCTTGGCTTTTAGCTGAGTACAGGTTTACTATGAGTCATCTATCAGTACGATGTCACTGCCAAAACTTTGAGCAGTTACCATACGCCAGCCCCTATGGGTTGTCATTTACATGCACAATATCATTTAATCTTCTATGAAGGAGTTATTATTTTTATCTTTATTTTATGGAGGAAGAGACTGAAGTTCAGAGAGGTCAAGTATCTTACCGAGGCTACACAGCTACTAAATTCAAGATTGTTTGACTCCCAAACTTGCAATCTTGACCCCTGGGCAATAAATACCCAAATCTCCTGTTGAATTAACAAATGATGTGACCAGATCATCAAATTCTGGACAAAGAGCTCATCCAGAGGTGGATGGCCAGGAGGTAAAAAAATCTGGAATCTGAGTCCCTGAGGAATGAAGAGAAGATTTAGGGGGACATGATTTGTGGCTTCTATGGCTCATCCCTGGGCTCAAAGTCAAAGTGCCTCATACAGACTGCTCTCCATTCTGGATAAGGGAAAACTCTGGAATGGGTTAGTTACCGTGTTCCATCCTCATGTTCCTGACCCTGGAAGTTGGAGCCAAATGACCACACCAGGCACACTGCAGGCAGACTTTGAGCCCTGGCAGATAGGTTGAACTCTGTGTCTCTTTGACTTTAGAATTCTGTGATCTTTTTGTGGGCATCTGGCACTACTTCCCTCTGCTGCTACACAGAGCTTGGTCCTGGATTTTAGGTTTGTTTGTTTGGTTTTTTG